ATTATACCTTTCACAATAGCTAATCACAAGATTAAATACTTGGGAATAAATTTAACCAGAAGTACAAAGGACCTTTTCCAAGAAAATTACAAAACAGCTGTCTCCATTGTGATGTGACCACATTTACGTAAAAAAACAATTTCCAAACAAGGTTGCATCCATAGGTGCCTATATTTCTTTTTTATTTTCTACTAGTTTATTTACAAAATTTGAATGCATTGTTTTCAGGAATAAAGGGACATTGTTCAGTCTATTACACCAACACCAGTTTTGTCCTGTGTGACTTTAAATGTGACAACGTGCTGTATCCAACTTCCTGTGTTACTGCAAAGCTGTCCACTGCGATTTGGTTGGTAGTATTTGAGAGTAGACTGGCACTAGGCTAGACTCCTTACATGAGGGTGAGATTGAGGCTATTTCTCTTCCTCTCTTGCCTCCATTATCTTATCTATGTAATGGGACAATTATAGTATATACTTTATGGGGTTGTTACTCAGGCTAGCAGAACCTGTATATATGAAACATTTGGAAACGTTCCTGGCATTTGGTAGCTGCTGTTTGTTGTTTTTGTTGTGTACCGTTGAGTTTTAAGAGACAAGAAGTCTCCTAAGAGGAGATTACCCACCTTTCTTTGGTGAAGCAGCTGGTGAATTTGAATCATGTGCCTTTGATTTGACAGCACCACGCCTTACCACTAAGCATTGCTATTGTTATTATTATGGATGAATTGTGAATTAATGAACTCTTTTAATGCATGTTTTAGTAGTTGCCAAGTTTTGAGCAAACTATTTGAGTAATACCTTGTATGTAAAGATGGATACTTGGCAATAAGTTGCTGAGAGAAAAGATACACATATTTTCAGTATTGATAGTTCCTGCCAAATTGCCCTCTACAAATGCTTTGCCAATACGCCTGCCAACAGTATGTGATGGTATCCATTTTTTAATATTCTCATCCATGCTGAATTTTATTAATCTTTTATATTTTTGCTAGTTTGGAAAAAAATAATATTTGATTAATAATAAACTCACAAATTATTGCCATTGAGTCAGAACCAATTCATTGCTGACCCTCCAGTAGTTTTTGGGAGACCGTAAAGCACACTGGAGGCGATTGCCCATCTTTCTCCCACAAAGTCACCAGGTGATTTAAACACTAAGATGTGCTGCTCCATTAACCATACAACTCCCCGTTTATAATTGTTATTATTAGGTGTCATTTAGTCAAGTATGACTCATTGCAACCCTATAAACAGTAGATTTGAACCCTGTCCTGTCCTGTGCCAGCCTCACAATCTCTGACACACTTGAGCCCATTGCTGCATTTACCATAATCAATCCACCTGGTTGAAGGTCTTCTTCTCCTTTGTCACCTCCCCACCTTTTCAAGTATGATTTTTTTCCCTCCAAGAACTAGCCTCTCCTAGCAGCTTGCTGAAAGTATGTGAGATGTTTCATCATGCTTGCTTCCAAGGAGCAACCTGGTGTGACCTTCCCCAAGACATATCTGTTTGTTCTTTTGGCTATCTGTGGGAAATTCAGTACTCTCTTCCAACACTACAGTTCAAAGAAATCATTTTTTCTTCTATCATCATTATTCATTGCCCACCTCTCAGAAGATAACTGAAAAGAACATGATTTAAAGCGGACACTCCTTAGCACTCAAACTAACATCATTGCTTCTCAGTAATTTGGAGAAGTCCCTAATTGCAGACTTTCCCAGTGCAATACATCTCCTGATCTCTTGACTGCTGCTGCCAAGTGTATTTATTATGGATCCAAGTAAGATGGAGTCATTGACAATTTTAATCTTTTTTTTTCCATCTTTTATGATGTCACCTATTAGTCCAGTGGTGAAAATACAGTCCAATTCCCTATAGACTAAACTAACTAAAGCTAACTATCTCTAGCATGGGATTTATAGTTCTTCCATGAAGAATAAATTTTTTAACTGAAAAATTATACATTTTATAATTTTATACTTTAACCTTTTGTTGTTGTTGTTATGTGCCATCGAGTCATTTGCGACTCATAGCGACCCTATGTACAAGAGCCCTAAACGCCATTCTATCCTGTGCCAATCTCACTGTCTCAAACACACTCATTGCCACCACTCCACTCACAGAATCGATCCTTCTCATCGAGGGCCTTCCTCTCCTGCTCCGTCCCTCCACTCTCCCAAACATGATGTCCCTCTCCAAGGACCAGTCCCTCCTTGCAACATGTCCAAAGTATGTCAGACGAAGCTTCAG